CGTTACCTACAAACACAAAGCTCGAAATAAGTTGAAGTAAAGGGGTTTTATAGATGCAGAGAAACTGAACATAATAAGAGTTCATACTCTAATTTTGCGCATGGGGTGGCCATTAATTGGCTTAGAAGTCGAAGGAAACAAAATGATTCTCATCTCATTCTTTTATATGAAGATACCATCCAAAACTTCACCGAAATAATGGTTTGGAAATTGTTATACATAATTTAATTGGCTAGATAACAAACAGATGATGATATATGTTATAAATATTTTTAATTTTACGAATTGTAAAACAATTTTAATATTCCGAATTTTTTCCTAATTTATTGGTATGATGTAATTTAAGTCCTTTCCTGTTTTATCTCACTTACAAGCCTAACTTCGTGGGTGGCCTTGGCGCCTTAGTGCACCTTGGCCGCCGGCAAATTAAGTGCACAACATCAACTAAGAGAAGGAGTGCTGAAAATACTATGAGGTTTCAGGCGGGAAGACTCGAGTTGCAGGGCCTAAGTAAGGCATTTCGAGGTTGAACGGAGGTTCAACATCGATGGGTCAATAGTACTTTGTGCAATACTAAAATTTTCTATGTCCAATTGGTAGACACAACAAATTGTCTTTTTTCCCTCAGTATGCCATATACACACATTTTTTTTTTCTTTTTCTTTCATAGGATCAATGGTGGTTCCTCACTTACCTTGCATGACTCAAACTCAAGACTGGTGTCAAGTGAAGAGTGCTACCAACTGAGCTAACCCTTCTCGTCCATATACACACATTCTAACAAAAGCAAAATTGGTATAGATATTTTGGTGGAAAATATAAAGAAGCACACAGCTAGGCTAGAAGAAGAATATGGAAAACAACTTAATTAACCAGAATAGTATCACACGCAAATGAAATTTGTTTTACGCTGAAACTTTAACGTCGCATACTTACACAAGATATCCTCTGGTTTCGTCATCAACATTACAACAAAGAAAAAAATTTCAGGTGGTGAAATTTAATCTGCAGGCATTCTTGACAAAGAGTTAAAGAGCTGCTAAGTTTAGACGAAAGATAATAGATGGATGACCAAGATTAGTCGATCTTCGTCGAGCTGCTGCGTATTTTCCACTTCCACTCACTGTTATTCCTGTGATTCCTGTTGTATAGGGGAAACTAAATTTAAAATGTTTCTCATTTTGCTCGAAAAAATCAAAATCCCATAAAAACCATAGTTTTCTTCTTCTTCTTCTTCTTTTTTTTTAAACCAACACCCCAATATGTACCTTCTTATAGTGACTGGTCTAGCTGGCTCATCATCCCTCAAGCTGATAGCGGCTAGTCGGGTGGCTAGCTCACTGCTTCCCGAGGTCGCATCAACTGGCCACGTCATTGGGACCAACAAATCCCTGCATCGACTCACATCCCATTAATTAGTAGAGGACATTTTTCGAAGAACATACAAAACAAAGTGCTTAGTGCTTTTGCCTGAAAATTGTTTGCTTACGTACCCTTCAGTTTGCTTGCACAGACAACGGTTCATCTGATTCACGGTGTAATTTCCCAACGTGACATTGAACTTTTTCACCATTTCTGCTATCTCAGATTGCGGCAGGATATCAAGAATCTTGATGACTTGCGTGTCGGTCGAATTTTCTCTGAGAATGTCGACTGTCCAAATCAGTTTTAGCGGGCCCTTGACATCACACAATTCCAGAAGCTGACAAGTGTCCTCACCTGTCTCGACTTTGTTCTTCCGATGCCACCCGTTCGAAAGCTTCACCAGTAGAGCAAACACTTCTTTGAGGATTCCCAAGTCACGATATCTACTAATCGACTGATGGAATTCGCGACTGAAGCAAACCTGCACATTAGAAACAATAAAGATTCAGCAGTTAATTTCCGAATTCTGTATTCACATTAATAAACAGGTAATTTTCAAATTTGGTATTCAAAGCGCGCATACCTTCCACTTAGCCTCTTTGAACAGTACAGACTCCGTACTGAACAGCGAATTCAGCTGGCGAAGCTCAATTAAGGCGTCACCAACCCCCATAGCCAAGTCCACATCCTCATAAGAATTATAAAAACAGCCACGATTTTTCGCGTTCATAACCAACTTCTGCCAAACTGAGCCGCTGTTTAACAGAGTTGAGCTATTGCCTATTATCCACAGACAGTACCTGCCAAGATGACCCAAAATCTATCACAAACTTCAAACAAACACAAAAAAAGTCGTGTAAAATGTATGGGCCGATTGACTGACTACCTTGCTCGAGTCAAGGCCACATTTGTCCTGTTATGATTGTCGAGAAAGCCAACAGATCCATTCCTATTGCACCTAACGGTCGAGATTATGATCACATCCTCTTCCCCACCTTGAAATCCATCAACCGTGCGCACGTTAACTGAAAACTCGTGTTTTGGGTCTGTGCTGTATGTATTTCCAAGTGCTTCCTGAATTGCAGCAACCTGGCCTTTGTATGGAGACAGGCATCCGACTCGGACCTTTTGCTTTGAGTTACGACATTCTGAGTAAATAAAATCAAAAGTGATTTATTGGACCAAAATTGTTAAATTAAATTAATAATAATTAGTGCAAGCTCAAAATATGATGATAACTACATGCCTTTACTGAGTCTGGAGACTATCTGAGCCACCACAGACACCTCTGCTGTATTTATCCAGCTTTGCCTTCTATCAAACTCCTCCCTCCCGTGAGTCACGTTAATGAAAGAATACGAACCGAACTGTTGTTCTTTTAGGAAGCACTTTTCGTATGCTTTTTCAGTGACATTTTGGCCATCCGTAATCTGTTCCCCGTAGAACTCCTTATTCGGGAACAAACTTATGGATGGATGCATTCTGTACTGAATGTCAAGCAGATGCCTGCCGTGCCCTAACATCACAAGCCTCTGGAATAAACTCCTCCCGAAACCCGCTTTCTCACAAGTCTGTCATCAACCATAATAAAAGAATAATGTTAATAACTGAAAGTTGACACAATAAGAGAAATGTACAATTTCCAAGATGAATGCAGTAAGTAAACCTTGCTGATGACCATTGCAGGAAGTTGTTTCTCATCGCCAACAAGTATGGCATTCCGGACTCCATTAAGCTGCAATGGAATACACGATTCACATTCTTTAAGCTGTGCAGCTTCATCGATTATCACCATTTCAAACGGTTTCATTTTTTTCGTGTGCAGCTTTGCCGAGCTCGAGACGGTGCAGAAAATTAAGCACGCGTTTTGCAGACAAAAGTTCTTCATTCCATGATATCCTTTACGACGCGGGACCTGGAGATATTCTCTAAGGAACTTCAGTGTGTTCAGGCACTTTATCCTGATCAGAGCTTCCTCCAAACACCCTTTATTGCCTTTATCCGCATTATGCAGGGAAGCATTATACTGTTTCAGCATGTCAAGAATATCAATCATTCTCTTTACGGTCTCCGGAGGAAGAAAAGACGTCGGTAAATGAGTACAAAACCCTGTTATACAAAAGATTAACCGGTCTCTAACAGCAGCAAAAGTCTTCATTACAAACTCCTCAAACGTCAATTGAACATTCAATATTGCTTCCTTTTCGTCACATTTCTCCTTATCATCATCACTTTTGGGCTTCTGTTGGGCCAAGTACTGTCGGTAGTGTTCTCTTGGATACTCAAGTAGGCCCACCATCTGATCAACACTACCCGTCCACCCGGACAAGGGGTTCAAACACTTAATCAGTGCAGACACACGGCTATCGAGAAACACATCGTGAAGATCCTCGTGCTCATCTATCATCATTCTCTTTCCGTTCCCGAACAAAACCACGTCCCCCATACCGTACGCGGCATGCACTGGATTATTATTCCCCCCACCTAGACGACAGGTCATCAGTCGCTTCGCGATTCCCATGACAGCCACGTTGGTCGGGGCGCACGCCAGCGCTCTCTTCCCCATCTTGAGCAGGGCAGATGCCAGCGTGGCGATTGTTTTCGTCTTCCCAGTCCCTGGCGGGCCCCACAGAAGCTTCACGGTGTTGAGGTGGCGGCATTCTGCTAAAGCCAGGCTGTCCACAATGGCATTCCGCTGGGAGTCGTTGAGACCGAGCAAATCAGCTGCTTCCCTTTCATTGGAGGAGCAAATAGTGCACTTCTCTTCTATCTGCGCTTGCATAATCAAG